CGCCCCGCCACCATGCCGGCGTTGGCCTCGAGGCGCCGCCCGGGCCCGGCTCCAGCGCGGGGGCCGGGGCCACAGGAGCTGGAGCTCGGGGGGAGAAACCCCGGGCGGGTAGGTCTCCCCGCGCGGGTGCACCAACAGGCAGGCTGGGAGATAGGGGCCTCGCTGTGGGCACGGCACTGATGCGATGGGCACCGGCCGCAGGCAAACGGGCAGAAACCTGGTGATGGTTTTAAGGCAAGCTTACCTGGAGCAAGGAAGCAGCAGGGCCACTGGCACTAAGCGGCAGATGGATCTAGCCGCGGGCTCCCAAGATTTACTGATAAGGTTAACCTCAAGTCCTTAAGACTGTATGATTACAGCGATATAATTACACGTTGTGATACAACGGCGGTTTATTGTATTACACTTAGCTGCTTACCTTCGCCTGTCTCTCAGTGATATTTTACAGGCCGTCTCCATCCCACACTGCCGTGCAGTGCGAGTGGTATTGCCACACTGTTATATTTCATCGCACTACATTGCACCGCAACACGGGTAATGTCATGTCTCACTATCCAGCGTCCAGGTGTAGGTATCCTGCATTACAGGGACTTGATGATTCTGCTGTCAGTGATGCTTGTCTTGCGCCATTAGTTTCAGAGAGATTACTCCTGATCCAATCTACACCAGCGGGAATGGGAGGAGACCAGACCCAAGCGTTTTAAAGAATAAAAGCTTTTATCCACAAGCAAGAAACACATGACTGAGGGACACTTTCCCTACCCATCTTTGGCTCCATACCTGTTGCTTTGGAAATGAATAAGAAAATTACCACTGACTGAAACATAAAAACACTGGGGGATGTAATGCTGTCAACCCTGCACCCTGTCTGGCCAGAAAGATATTTAGGCTATTAGTCTGGTGTGTCACAGAGTGTCTGTAGTTTTCTAAAGCATCCTGTGCATTTTGGGGTGTTGTGAAATACTAAGTAATTACATTGAATCACTTTGAATTCTGCATGTGAAGTTGTCAAGGAATATTTCTAAATGCTGATTTAAAAACCTGGGGTGCAGAGATTGTAGTGCTGCATGGGGTAATGTTCTGGTCTCTCTGGCACTGCTTCCTTCACTGCCCAGGATCATCCTTCAGTACAACTTTCCTATTGCATTGGGTTTCTTCTAACTATAAACCAAGCAGCAAGATTCAGGGCCAGTTTGTGGTCCTAGGATCTTCTGCAGTGCAGGCTGAGAGCCAGCACCTCTCACCTGTGGACAGAGACATTTCTTTGTCAGCTTCAGAGGAGCCTGCTTCTTCCCAAGATCAGCTGGCATTTTTCAGGACATCACCAGGCTGCTCTCCAGCTCAGACAAGCCCCTCCAGCTGGTAAGTACCGCCACAGTTCGACTGCAGCTGCACCACTTCCTTCATGCCTCAGATTCAGAAGCGCAGAATTTGGTTTTTGGACACACCAAATTCCTTCTCAGTGGTATTGTGCCATCTTTCTGCCCCTCCTTGATCCTGAAGATCACTAGTGATTGTTTTGGATTATGATGGGCTGAGTTAAAAAGAGGGCTGGAGGACACAGAGGAAGAAAAAGATTTCATGGGATTTTCAGTAAATAAAGGCCTAAATTTGAGACTGATGTCCTAACTCTGTGTTCCACGCTGTACATACCCAGGGGTAGACATAGATGGTTCTCTGAAGAACTTTCAGTCTAAGAATTATGATTGCAAATCCTGAACAAGAAGCAATATGGGTGAATCTTCTGCTGAAATACATACTGTATTTCATACTAAGATTTCTAGGACCAGAGGGGTTAGCATCATAATTTTTGCTGTTTGTTTAATGAATGTATGAATGTGTTTTTATTAAAAGCAACAACAAAAAAAAAGATATCCAGCATTGTGCAATAAAATACATAGCAGGTCTGATTCACCAGTGTGCTTGTATGCCATATCTCTACACCCTGATGATTGATTAGCTTTTCATGCCATTGCACCGGTGCATAACTGAAGTTGTGCAGTGATGAATCAGATCCTTTGTACTCTTTATTGAATGCAGTGGCCCTCAATCTATATGGCCTTGCACTTTATGGGGCATTTGCACCTCTTTAAAGTGGGCAGCAATGAGAATGGGAGCATTTTACACTCAGGTACCAATTTGCTTTGCATATATGTAAATAAACCTATGGGGGAGGGGAGAAGCAGGCCCCACATGCTCTTTTAGAGGAATTCAAAAGTTAATAGATTACACTGGCCAAAAATGCAAATGATTGTCAGGACTGGATGCAAATAAGGCTTCTAAGTGTTAAGGCCTCCTTCTCTGCTACCCCAGGAAAGCGTCTTTGTTGATTTCATGTTTCTGTTACTGTATCTGCAGGCCTCGCCTTTTAGTGCAACATACAACCTAGGTCACTGTCTAATGATGTTCACAGGCAAACTGAGACTGATGGAGAACCATCACTTCTGAAAGTAGTGCTTTAAAGTAGGGCAGCAAAGTCTTTGCAGTCCATCATCACTCTGAAATTCACTGTTGCTGCCCTGAAGCAAAGGAGCAGACCCTGGATCAAAAATGCTTGAAGAAACACATTTCAAAGGGAGGGAATGCTTTTCTATGCAAAGCTTCAGGGCTTTACATTTAAATCACAAACTGGGAGAGCAGCCCTTTAACAACCACTAAATCAGTGCAGGTAGGGCTGTGTGTAACAGTATGAACCATCCTTAGTAACGGGGAGAGCTGCCTGCACCATGCTAGGAAGAGACCCAAGGCTGAAAAGTGATTCCAAGAATGGCAATTCCCTGCCCCCACCCCCCCAAATAGTTAGGTGTGCCCAGATCTTCATGGAATGCATTGCATTCAAAAGCTTGTCTGACTTTATTCCAACGATACAGCTGGTCCAATAAAAGGTATCACCTTCATAAAATCTTAGCCTCTGGCAAAGTTCCTGGACCATCAGGGTTAGGCATCACTCTAACACTACTAGATCTTCATAGGTATTTAGACACCTACACTGATTTCCATGTGCCTAAATTACCTCACTAGGTCAGCTAGTATGCCTGGTGAGTGAATGGCAGGGGCAGGGCTGTATGCATCTCTCTACCTATTTGCGGTTCAGAGCAGTCGTTGCTCTCTCTATTGCAGCCGCAATCACCATATAAGTAGAGACAGACACAGTTTCAGGAGGAAGTAACACTCCCCCTTACTCCCCTGTATGGCCCTGTAGCTCCTGTAATGGTCTAGCCCAAAGGATTCAGCCAAGGGGGTCGCAGGACACTGTCAAATAAAGTATGCCTAAAACTATTTTACTTTCAAAAGCACTTTGGCAAACATCACTTGAGTTATTTTTATAACTGAGAGAGCCTATGCAATATAAATCTCTTCAGGAAAACCTGGAATACGGTTGCTCTAGCCCCTACCTCTTTGAGACATTACCTTTGTCACAGCTAACGGTCAGAGGAGTGCCCCGGGATGCAGAATGACAAATGTTCCTTTGGGTTAGTAAGGGCTGCATGTATTAAGTGCCTTACAAGCCAGCATAACCTGAACACTCAGGGCAGGAAGTAAGGGTTGTCTTTACTGATAGCTTGTACAGTGCCAAAGACAGCAGGAGGAACTGAACAGTCATCCTCTACACTAGAAGTTGTTTTCTCTAATTCACTTTAACCAAGCAGCAGCAAGATGCCATAGCACTCTCCTAGAAACAAATAATAGGTTATAACCTCAGAGGAACTTTTATTCCTGGAAGAAAAGGCTGAAGATTCTGTATCCAAAGGTATTTGCATATTGTATGTTGAAATTCCAGATTAAATACACATTGAGTGGGAATCTCCAAACAGAAGCCCATCTGTTTGCCTCTCACATGCACAAATTTAAACTTAATTTGAAGTGAAAAGGAATACTGGCAGGTAATTTGAAATGTTTTCTTAAAGGGGGTAGTTTTTACATTTAGATAATAATAAGTTACTCTGTTCTTATCATCTGCTTTCCTCAACAGAGCTCAAAGCATTTAACAAAGGTCAGTAGATTTATTAGCTCCACGTTTACTAGAGAGGCACAGAACCAACAAGAGACCTGCACAAGCACAGACAGTGACCACTGACTGAGCCAAGCAGGATGCTTCTGCCAGGACTCTCTCCACTGGACTCTGCTGTCTCCTATGTGATTATGGCAGCAGTGGTAGGGTTTGGGGTCTTGATTGTGCAGAATGAGATTTGCTGAGATCCAAACCTTGTAAGAGAAATAAAATTTCTGAACCTTAGAGCTGCTCTTAGCAGTTGCTTGATGATGTATGATCAGAATATGGCATTATATTTATCTGTGGTCTGTCATCACTGTTACTTATTAGTTATTATCTGTGGTCTCTCATCAGTATACTCATCAGTATTACTCCCAGTTAAGGAGATATTGTTGAGAAGAAGACTTACCACCCAGCTTTCACCTTTGCTTCCTACATAACCTTTTAGATCCGTTCAACCTAAGCACGCTTTCTACCTATTCTAGTCACAGGCTTCTGTTAATGTTCCCTCCAAAGTTTCCAAAAATTATACATTTTTGGTGAGGGTAAGACTGCATGTGAGGGATGTAACTCATGATAAGTTGGAAGGATATTTAAATATTACTCAGCACTATTTTATTTCCCTCATGTTCTACACTGCATCCCATGTGCCTGAGCCTGGAAAGGAACTGTAATTTCACAGAGAAGAGGAGTCATTTCAGATGTAAACATAATATTTCCTGTGCCCTGTGTTCCTTAGAAGATCCTGCACAAAGTGCACATGGACTGGGATCTATGTATGGAAGTAGGACATTTAAAGGGCAGAAGGAGCGGGGTGATAGAAGTGGGGAATGCACAGTAGCTTCATGGGAGGGAATCCAACACCGCAAAGAATCCATACCTCCCCCCATCCCCCTGGAGCATAGCAATGGAGTACGGACCCGAATGGCCACACGATTTACCTTGTTTGCAAGATGCAAATACATTCTGGTCATTCTATGATATCAATTTGTTGCCATCCTCACCTTGCCTGTCACCTGCCTCTCCATGAGGACAGCTTAGTGGCTTATCAGAAGCTGCAACCTTACGAAAGGTAGAACAAGAAGCAGAGAAAAGGAGGTGCCCTTCCAGGCCCACAGAAAGGTTTAGTCTCCTACTTAGACTTGGTGGGACTTAGATGCTTCTTAGGGAGGAAACAGCATGGGGCCAAGATGCAGATGACAGAATGGGACTACAGCAGTGAAAGGGAAGGTTTTGGTGGAGGCTCAAACCAGGCAAAATGGGGCTTGGTTTGGACCCTCCTCCCCAAGGCCATTCCAGGTGAATTCTCCATCCCTTGGAGTGAAATAAAATATATGCATTTGCTACATTCTCCTCATTGATGCATTTCTGAAATCACTATTCCAATCCAATGCACAGGTCCATGACAGTTTTGTCATCAATTAACGCACCTCTAGAATCCTCAGTTTTCTGCAGAATTATGTGCAACTCCACCATCTCTGGCACTAATTAGCACTGCAAAGTACTGGAGCTGATGCAGGGCCCTATTCTGACAATGTATCAGGGATGCAGAAGTATGAATTACAGGTTGAAAGACAGCTCTTCAGTGACAAGAATATTACAGACATCCCTATGCCATCCTTCATACAGCCCATAGCAAAGCTGAGGAAGGAAGAATAGGTTTCACAACAGTAGAGCAGTGATTCTCAGCCATGGTGCCACAGTACCTTGGGATGCTGTGAGATCCTTTTAAGGGTGCCACAGTGCCAAAAACATTAGCACTGTTAGATGTTGAAACACCTACATGGGATTCACAAGATAAACTCCAGGATTTCAAATAGGAATCCATAGTATCAAAAATATTCTGACCTGCTGTTGTCTTTCTGAGTTCTTTGCAAGAGAAAAATTCCTCTATAATTTTTCTGTAGTCAAGAAGTAAGGGAAGCTAAAAACTGGTATTTTCCAAGGGGTGCCTTGTGTGTGTTAAGGGGCGCCTTGAGTCTAAAAATGTTGAGAACCACGGCTATAAAGATTCTGGGCTGCTTCTAACTAGAGTAAAATAGCCATGGATGAGGTGCTAGGCACTGCACTAGCTCAGAACAGGGAGAGAGCCCTTACACAATCTAAGACAAAAGATAACAGATGGATACATGCAGAAGAAAGAATACAAGGAAACAGAGAAATTATACTGCTTTGCCTGATAGGCAATGCTGTCAACACACCTGCAGCTAACTGTTATCAAGGTTTTGTAAGAATCAACACAAAAGAGAGTTTTAAGTGAGAATTTGAAGGAGGATGAGGAGCTCATAAGTTTATAAGAAACACACCGTGCTCTAGAAACCCAGCGTTTTTTTATGTATGTCTTAATAGTGGAATCAAGGCGTGCACCTTCCACTACTCAAGCTAGTGGCAAAAGTATGATTAGCTTTATAGTGATCAGAATCAGTGCAACAGATCTTGTTCAGCTTTACATTGCAACAGATCTCACCTAGCTTCCCTTGCACAAAATTATTTTCACAGTGCTTCATTACATATTAAAACCAGTTCAGATTGCTTTGGACCTTGGTATTGAAAACTGTCAAGAAAGACTCTAGAAGTACAGGGAATAGTCATGCTCTGGAGTGAAATCAGGGCTGGAAGGAACCTCACAAGGTCATCTATTCCAGCCCCTGCTCAAGGCTAAACCATCACAGCCAAGTGTCTGCCTAATCTGCTCTTGAAAATTCCCAGGGATGGAGATTTCACAGGGTCTCTAGGCAGCCTGTCCCAGTACTTCCTCTCTGTAATCAGCCTTTGAAGACTTTTCAAATCCCACCTCAGTTTCCTCTTCTCCAGAATAAACAGCCCAAGTTCTTTCAGCACTTCCTCATAGGTCATACTTCCCTGGCCCCTACTCATTTTTGTCACTCTGCCGGACTCTTTGCAATTTGTCCACTTTTTTCTTGAAATGTGGGGCCCAAAACGGGACACAATATTCCAAGTGAAGGCTGCCTCATCAGTGCTGAATAGCGTGGAAAAATCACTTCCCTTGATTTGCAAGTGACACTCCTGTTAATACAACCGAGTATGCTTCAGCTCCAGCAAAGCACTTAAAGGTACACAAAGCTTTATGCACAAGTCCCATTGGCTCCTAAAGTGAGTCCATGCTCAAGTGTGTTGTAGCACAGTTTTATTTCAAGCTTTCATAAGTAATCTGGAAAATGTGGTAAACAGCATATTAGCTGCCTGTGCAGAAGATGTGAAAATAGGAAGTTATTTCTGCTTCACTACAGTGAAGTGCCGCTGTTATATTTTGTATATTTGATATATATTATACATTGTATTATTAATTCATATTACATAGCTGGTAACGCCATTATTATTAAGTTTGCCCAACACTTACAACATTAGGACATTATTCTGTGTTGCGAATAACTGCCAGACTTCAAACATTTGGGTTGAAATGTCCCACATACGCATTAATAATTATATAGTA